CTGCTATATTGCACTAAATTACTGTGAACTGCAATGTGATGGGATACATACTGTATATTGTGTTAAATTTACACAATCCTCTGCAAAAATGTCAGACAGTTTTGAAGTGAGAGGCAGAGGTTCTGCACATGGAGGTAGTAGGAGGGTGAGGATCTACAGGTCAAAATGGTCATTGGACCGCACCTTTTAGAGGCAGGGCATATCTGCATTTTCTATCAGATGGTGATGTTGAGTGGGTAACAAAGCCTTCTGTTTTTTCTTCCTCCCAAAGTGCACAAACAGCCAGTTGTCTGCATGTGTTGATAATGTGCTATCTTTTTCCTTCTTCTCTTCTGCTAATACTGCTGTAGCCCTGAAAACAGACTGTGAGGAGGCAGCAGAATTATTTTTCCATAAATACAAAGAATACAGTGCACTCTATACAGCAATGAGCCTCAGTCAAATGAGGGTGCTATGGCAAAATGGTGGTGGCCACCAAAGCATTCGTTTAGTCCAAGATATCACCAGCCTACCATATTCAGATAAACAGTCAGGATACTTTAATGTCACCACCACAAAGCAGGAAAGTTTCAAGGCCACTGTGAGCCTCTTCATCACTACTGCCTGAAGAAGAGATTCTTAGTGGCTTAGTACTTTCTGCTGGTGACATGAAAATGTCCTGTTTATGTGTACATGTAGTACCTAGTCATTTAGGTACTACATGCAAGAGGAACACTTGAATTTGCAGCACAGAACTTGGGAGTAGCACCTCAATGAGACAAGTTGGCAGAAAAAAGCTCGCACTCCTATTCATCTTTCCTCACTTTACTCTGCAACATTCTCCTGCACCTTACATCTCTGGTGTACAGTGACAGGGAATTCAGGTAATCAAGGAGAGGGACCACTATTGGTGGTCATCCTAATGCAACAGGAAAATGGCTGATATACTGCCACCATCCCAGAGGGAGCACATAATGCAGTACATTTAGGAAATGTCTCATTTGCAACATTTCCTGATGGTGGCAAGATCCCTACTGCTGACCAACATGCCTCCAATTTTGTGAGACCTGAAAGAAAGAGCAGTGGTGGTATATGTCTCAGAGTTTTTTAAACCACAGGCCAGGCTGAGCTGCAGGCAGTAATCACAGGCAGTACCTAAACCACATTATTGTTGACTACATTGCATCAAGGGCTTGATGCAGACACTCTCAGATATGATCATATTGATGAATGTATGTCCAGACTGGATTACTGGTTGGGGTTTTCACAGTATATATTGAAGTATATGCAGACAACCAGTGTGCTGTATGAGAGGGCATTCAGCACAACAGGAGCTCTTTTTGTGGAGAGGTAAATCTTCCAATGCCTTTGCAATGTGGATGGCCAAATTTCAAAAGTAGAATGGTGGCATCATTGCCCCTCCTCTCCACCTTGTCCAATCAGACAAATCTTTGTATTAATTGAAAAAAATAAAGGGTTCTGTAAATGGTGGCATTCCCAAGTGAGCGTCCCTCTTTGGTTAGTGTGCAGAGAGGAAGCCACTTGGTCCATAACCTGGAAGATTCTGGCTGTCGCTATAGTAGCATTGATTACTATAGTGTTTGCCAGCTCCCCTGCAGTCCATTAGGTATGATATACAGTTGCAAGAAAAAGTATGTGAACCCCTTGGGATTATATGGAGTTTTGCATGAATTGGGCATAAAATGTGCTCTGAACGTCATCTAAGTCACAACAATAGAAGAACACAGTCTGCTGAACATAATACTACACAAACATTAGATGTCGCCATGGTTAATTGCACATAACATGTAAACATTCACAGTGCAGGGAGGAAAAAGTATGTGTGAACCTTTGGACTTAATAACTGTTTGACCCTCCTTTGGCAGCAATAACCTCAACCAAACGTTTCCTGTAGTTGCAGATCAGACCTGCACAACGATCTGGAGTAATTTTGGACCACTCCTCTTCACAAAACTGTTTCAGTGTAGCAATATTCTTGGGATGTCTGGTGTGAATCGCTCTCTTAAGGTCATGCCACAGCATTTCAATGGGGTTGAGGTCAGGACTCTGACTGGGCCACTCCAGAAGGCGTATTCTGTGCTGTTGCAGCCATTGTTTTGTTGAATTACTTGTATGCTTTGGGTCATTGTCCTGTTGCATCACCCATCCTCTGCGGAGCTTCAGATGGTTGTACGTTTTCCTGCAAAATGTCTTGATAAACTCTGGAATTCATTTTGCCATCAATGACAACAATCCGTCCAGGCCCTGAGGCAGCAAAGCAGCCCAAACCATGATGCTCTCTCCGCCATGTTTTACAGTGGGGATAAGGTTTTGATGTTGGTGTGCTGGGCCTTTTTTTCTCCACACATAGTGTTGTGTGTTCTTCCCAAACAACTCAATCTTGGTTTCATCTGTCCACAGTATATTTTGCCAGTAGTGCTGTGGAACATCCAGGTGCTCTTTTGCAAACTTCAAATGTGCTGCAATATTCTTTTTGGACAGCAATGGCTTCCTCCGTGGTGTCCTCCCATGTACTCCATTCTTGTTTAATGTTTTCCTTATTGTAGATGTGTCAACAAAAATGTTAGCATGTGCCAGAGATTTCTGTAGGTCTTTAGCTGACACTCTGGGATTCTTCTTTACCTCATGCAGCATTCTGCGCTGTGCTCTTGCAGTCATTTTTACAGGACGACCCCGCCTAGGGAGAGTAGCAACAGTGCTAAACTTTCTCCATTTGTAGACGGTCTGTCTTACCGTGGACACATGAACATCAAGGCTTTTGGAGCTACTTTTGTAACCCTTTCCAGCTTCATGCAAGTCAACAATTCTTGATCGTAGGTCTTCTGAGAGCTCTTTTCTGCAAGGCATGGTTCACATCAGACAGTACTTCTTGAAACCAGTAAACCCAAAACAGGTGTGTGTTTTTTAAGGGCAGGACAGCTGTCAGCAACACATCCAATATCATCACACTGATTGGAGTCAATGTTGGCTCACTCCTGGCTCCAATTAACTCTGGGAGAAGTCATTAAGCTAGGGCCTCACATACTTTTTCCTCCCTGCACTGTGAATGTTTACATGTTATGTGCAATTAAATCATGGCAACATCTAATGTTTGTGTAGTATTATGTGCAGCAGACTGTGTTCTTCCATTGTTGTGACTTAGATGACGTTCAGAGCACATTTTTATGCCCAATTCTTGCAAAACTCCACGTAATCCCAAGGGGTTCACATACTTTTTCTTGCAACTGTATGCATACTTTCTGTACATTGTGCAAGGTGGACCAATGTAAGTATGCAATAAAAATCATGCATGGAGCTCACATTTAACAGTGCACCTCATTGTAAGCCATGCCAGTATTTTACAGTGGCATACGCTGCTTTACAGTGGGCCCCTGTTCTCACTTTCTCTGATCATCACCAGATTCCAAGTCCTACACAGATTATGTGTGTGTATTTGTGCTGTAGTTGGTAAATTATGCCTTTATGACATTAAATATTGTAGTTTTTATCTTTATTTCCATTGGTTTCCACGTGCCCTCCACATGCTAACAGAACTATCAATGCTGCAGCTCCTGCATTTATAATATACTTAACCAAAGCTGCATGTATCCATTAGTAAAAGGTTAAAATATAATGTTGTCATTTGTAGTTGCTTACAGATGAAGGACTTTAATCTGTTGGGATTTGTAGGTTTTGCATTTGCTCTATTACTGGTATAGACGGAAATTGTGTCCATACTTTGGCAACGTCTTTGCTGGTCTAACATTTCACATTGCACACAAGCAATGCTACTATCTATTGAGAGTTTTAAAATCCTTTCATTCTGATTCACTTTATATGTTTCAATGCCTTTTTTGTGTTTTACAAACAGTAATTAATTTATATGCTTGCTGACATTAACCAGTCCTATTAAAATATTCAATGCAGTTGAAAGTTTTCTGCTAGAACATCTGTTAAAATAAGAAGAATAGTGCAAGTCTTCCTTTCTGAAACATATCATGTCTGTTCATAGCCTACATCCTTTGCTATGAGGAATCACCCCTAGAGCAGAGAATGGCATTTAACACTATACAGAAGAATAAAATGCATTTCCTCTGTTGTGCAAAACTATATACTTCTAGAAACCCATTTTCTCCAAACCAAAGAGCAGTTTTGCACTTAGCCTACTGAGAAAGCAAAAACATGCTGATTTTCTAACATGTAAGTAAGGAGTGCCATTCATGACCTGACATCTAAGGAGCGAGGAGATGAGAAAGATTTGTACAACTCTTGTGACAATTTGTTGAGTATCTAGCCATGTAGGGGTTATCTTCTCCTGGGAAATCTTTTCATTCATTCTCTTTATCTACAGTGAAGAAAGAATAGAAGAATAAAACTTTCACATTCTCCCATCAGTCAGCTATTTTAAAATATAATACTGGGTCCTTGTGACAAAGCAAAGGAATTGAAAACAAGCAAATGACTCAACACCCATCATTCTTGGTGCATCATCTACAACATCTGCTCATATAGCAAGGCTAATGGTGACTGTGGAAAGGTAGATTTCTCATTTACAATGACAGGGAAGAAAGGAATATGCCACTAATCTCATTAGGAACTCTTTTTATGTCTTTGTTGTGGGTATGGCATATAATTCAGATGGTTGTGAAGGAAAAGTATACTGATTGTATGAAGGGATTATGGCATGTACAATGGTGCTAGGTCTGTGAAATAAAAATGAGTGATGGTGAGGATAGACCAAACTTTGAATGTGCTTTCTTCATTAATACATCACATTTTAACATTTCAAGATTTCAGGATGAAATTATTATTCCATGATGAAAATGTATGCATACTAAGGGTATGTACAAAATATAAATCTGAAGAAATCATTTGAATTTTCTCTTTTTAAAATATATAAATTTGTGCTTCCTAGCACAAGAACTCTGCACTTGGGACTGTGAGTGACAGGTAGTTCTCAGCCATTAAAGATGATGGAGCGAAGATGGTAAATCAGAATGCCATTTTGGAGTGTGTCATCACCAGGGGCTGGCTGACCATTTGGAAACTCGGGCACTGCCCGAGGGCCTGGGGTCAGTAGGGGGCCCCATGAGATGCCCCTGGTTACTTTTTCATAGGCTTTTTTGAGTTTGGGTAAGGACACAGGGGCCCCATGATCCCCTATTGCCCAGGGGCCCCATGAGTTGTCAGTCCGCCCCTGGTCATCACTGACTTACTTGAAAAAGTAATTGCCTCATTTATTTCCAAACGTTCTGAAACACTGACCTAAACACTGAACAAACATGCAGATCAGAAAAAATAAGAAAAATAATCTGGAATTTTATTCCAGATTGCTGAATGAAAAAGCACTAAAGCCACTGGATTAGATAAAGAAGTATCTAATATAGCGATAGCCTACATACAGGGTTCCTTTAACATTTGCAAATGATTGGAAGCAGTGGATACAACTAGCAATCAGATTTAATTAGGTCATGGAAATCTGGCACACTTAGTGACAAGTATGCTTTAAGAGTGCAGTTTCAAAAAGGTTTGAAAACTTCAAAAATGAAAGGAAAGTTATAGTCTTTCCTTAAGTTACCATATTCTTTAATGTGTATAAAGACTAGAAGTGCACATGAATCCTTATTACCAAAGCATTTGTTTACTAGAGTGCCTTCTCTCTGGGCATTGAGAGACTCTGCTAACTTAACTTGATAAATAAAATAAAAGTCAAAATTAGTCTTAGTTATGCCTTGTCTGCCATATGGTGTCCCTCATCAGATTGTAATCACCTAGAAACCTATGCATATTGGCATGGACTGCATGGTCACCCATTTTGAGAAGCACTGATCTGCTAGATGTTGAATGATAATTTTATATTCAACTTGTTTTTATTGGATTTTACAGTTTTATAACAAAAAAAGGAGAAACAGGTTCACAGTTATACAGTCATATAAGGCAATAAATGTTTTGTAATTGTGCATACTTAGTCTAGCAGTAGGACCTGTAATCGAAAAAGGTAGGATTATTAAGTCCTGCACACTGGGAGACTAGGGGAAAGTGGGGGAGGGGGCGGGGGAAGAAGAAAAAAAAGGGTAAAGAATAACAGATGAACTAGGCCAATCAACATAACTTTAAATTTATACATCAAGTGATGAAATTATCAAACTTGTACTTTACATCTAGGATGACCATGAAGCCCAAGACTTAGTGAAAATTTTTTTTCCATTTCGCATTGGGTGTTCAGATGTTAAATTACTCTGGAAAGGGGTGGGTGGCATTACTGTTGATTTCCATAGTTTGTTAATATTGTTTTTTTTGCTGCATATAGAATGTGTACGATAACTATGCGTACCTCCGGGGGGTATTTGTGTCTAGACCAATGTGAAAATAGGGCAAATGCTGTGTCAGGTTTAACTGTGTTGCCTTTTATTTCAGAGATCACTTTGAATATACTGTTCCGAAATGATGTTAATGATTTACAGGCCCAAACTGTGTGAAAGGGGGAACCTGTCTCACCACATTGTCTCCAACACTGTGACGAACAGGTAGAGCACATGTTAGATAAGCGAACTGGGGTCAAGTACCACTGGTGCAGTAATTTAAGATATGATTCCCAGTGGGTGGTGTAAGCCGTGTACCGGGGTGGGCTCCCCAGGATGCAGTGAAGTCACGGATGAGGAAAGCAACCTCAACACCAGCTTTTGCCACAACAGAATTTTACTTAGATGTGGCAAATAAACACAACCACAAATGCTGGAAACATACAATAAATTTACATACACCCAGCCCAAAGGCTGAGACCCTTGTGCTGCACAGCACGGCACCTTCTGATGGATGAAGGTAGAAAGTGAAGTAATTTACCTACTGGCGGGCACAACTAAGCTGCCACACCTTACCTGTTATTACCCTAAACGAACAAGAATCAGTGTATGGGTGTATGGTATGGGCTAGCCTGCGGTGCAGCACAACAGCTTACAATCTTACACAAATCTACAGTTTTCCCTCTCCCATAACTGGTCATGTAGCACGTGCCTGAGTATTCCTTCTGAGCAAAACGCCAGTCTGGCTTGAGTTTGTAGGATTTTATCAGCTCTCCAATGTGAAATTTCACTTTAAGTTGTGGAGTCCTTTCAATAATCAGTAACAACACTTGTGGCCTGACACAAACAGAGACCCTAACTAGCTAACTATAGGCCTGTCTCAGTCTTATAGGCGCCAACACTGAAATGAGGTGCGTGCATGATCTTACCGACCCGGGTCTGCTTTGCATCCGTTGGTGACTCTGAACAGAACAAATGTCTCTCCACTAAGCATGCGATATCACAGTATATATATTGCTTAGTTCCTCAGCTTCCCATCAGCTTTCTGGCAGCAATCTTCCTTTCTTTGAACAGGGTTAGCGTCTTGAACACCATCAGCTTCAATCAACTGAATTTCTGATCACGGAGGGCTGTCCTCACATCTGGATGGCATCGGATTCTCAGATCACACAGCCCCCCTTCTCTCTCTCAAGCATGGCTGCTCTCTCTCTCCTTTTCCTGTTCACTCTCCAAGTGTAAAAGCCCACCCCTACATGAATATAGAAATCTCTATGCAGTTTGAGGCTGTGTTAGAAAAAACAGTGACATCTTGTGGCTAAACTGCAGAATGTCAGTCAGAATGTTTTTAATTTACTTCAATCAGTGTTCAAACAATGAAACCTGTTTCCCCATCTCACAGTGGCACAATGGGAAGCTTTGTAAGTCATTTTAAAGGCTTTGCATCACATTTGGTCTGTGATAGGTTGAGGAAAGTGAAGTTCCCAGTTTTTTTGAGATGATGTTTTAGATTGGGGTAATAGATCTATCAAGATTCCTTTGCCTTGGTGTTTTGGCTTTGTCGAGGATGAGGTAATAGTTGTAATGGTGCTGTTACATTACAGGGAATTTTCTCATTATTCAGGCAATGCATAATTCTAATGTAATTAAATTTCTCACTTGGGGGTAATGGGAATTTGGTTTGAAGGAGGTGATAGGGAGCCAAGTTTTGTTCTGTATATAAGTCAGATAAGTAATGGATACCTGCTTTTTCCCAGTTAGTTAAATTAACATCAGGAATTAAGAGTGAAGTGAAGAGTGAAGAACATTAAGGGGAGTGCGCATTGATTTGGAGGTTGGGAATATGTGTGAAAAAAAAGACTGACCAAGCTTCTAAGGAGGCTTTGATACAGGTGTGTGTGTGTGTGTGTGTGGAGAGTGTCTGGTGGTGGTAGAGTGGAAAAGAAGAAGGGTCTGCGGGGGGTGGAAGGATGGAATAGTGGAAGTTCCATGTTAGTCCATGTCTTTTCCCTGGTTGGATGCCATCAGTAGTAAATATGATTGAGAAGTGTGGCTAGATAATAAGTATGTAAGTGTGGGAAATTAGCACCTCCTCTATGATAAGGTCGGATTCATAAATTGTTGGTGCATCTGGGTCATTTTGATTCCCAAATGAATTGCTTTTGTGCTGTATGGAAAAATTGCATAGGACTGTTATGGGAGAGTTCTGAATATGTAAAGTAGTTTGGGTAAAACAAACATTTTAGAGTGGCTATACGCCATAATTTAGATGTGCAAATGTCCAAATGTACAAAAGGATTGGAGTTCTTGAGGGAGAGAATGTAGGAATATTTTGTGATTTAGATCGTAGAGCTGTGATGTTGAGGCGGTTATATTGATTCCTAGGTATGTGATAGAGTGTTTAGCCCATATGAAAGGGAATTGTTTGGAAAGAAGAGTTTGAGAGCTTTTTGATGCATGCAAGTTGAGGATTAGAGATTTATTCTCATTGAGTTTATATTATGAGATTTCAGTGTATGGGTTTAGTACTTCCCTAATCCTATTTAAGGATCGGGTAGGATTAGTAATCATTAGGATAATATCGTAAGCGAAGAGACTAATTTTGTGTTCAGTATCGTGATATTTGATACCTGAGCAGGGGGTATTCTCTGATTTTTGTAGCCAGGGGTTCAATAAGTAAGGCAAATATTAATGGGGACAATGGGCAACCTTGTCGGGTACCATTTGTGACGTCAAATTGTCTTGAGAGTATATCATCTGTGAGTACTCTGGCTGAGGGGGAGAAGTATAATGTCATAATGGCCGTTTGTAACCATCCCACAATACCCAGTTTTTGTAGAACTTCACACATAAATCCCCAATGAATGCAGTCAAACACCTTCTCTGCATCCAGAGATAGGAGCAGAGAAGGCATTCAGTGATCTTGTAAGTTATGCATTAGGTAGATCAAGTGTCTAGTGGCGTCAGGGCCTGGTGACCCGGTACAAACCTCACCTGATCTTGGTGTATTAGGGATGGAATGAAAGGGAGCAATCTGCAAGCTAGTATGTTTGCATATAATTTCACGTCATTATTTATGAGAGATATAGGTCTATAGTTTTGTACTAGTTAAGGGTCTTTACCTGGTTCTGGAATTGTCTTGATAGTAGATTGTAACATTTCTTTAAGCATGTGACCCATGGAGGCAGCAGAATTGAAGAGGTCAGCTAAATGTGGAGCAAGAATACTGGTAAATTCTTTATAATATTCATTTGTGTAGCCATCACTGCCACGGGATTTGTTAAGGGGTAAGGTGCGGATTACCGATCCAATTAGTGATGTATGAAAGGGTACTGAGATATTTTGTAGTTGGGTAGGAGAGAGGGTTGGGAGTTTGATCGAGTGTAGGAAAGCTTGAATAGCTGCGGGAGATGGTTGTGGGGTTGTCTTAACATCTTTGAGGTTATAAAGGGACTGATAAAAGTCATCAAAGGCGTTAGCTATGTCAAATGGATTTGAAACCAGGGAATTAGATTTTGGAGATCTGATTGTATGGATTTTGGTTTTGAGGCGTTGTTGTTTAATTGATCTGGCTAGCAGAGAACTTGCTGCCTTGTTACCTAAAGAGGAAAATTTGGCTTTCATTTTTTTAAGCTAAGATCATATTGGTATAATAAGAGAGATTGAAGTTTCTCTCTGTCGGCCAGTAATGATGAGGAGTTGGATTCAGTCGGATTAGATTTGTTTAGCTCTTCTTTTATTTTGATAGAGGCTAGTACCTGTTCTATTTGATGTCTCCTGTGGGTATTTAACTGAGCATTTCATTTAATAAGAAGCCCTCTTATAAATGCTTTATATGTGGCCCATACTGTGTGCATCGACACGTCTGGGGTGTTGTTGATTTAAAAAAAAAATGATCATG